TTGAATATAAATGTAACAGCAAGCAATTGTCACAACAGATGGAAAGTCCTAGAAAGGAATTATAAAAAATTTGTCGACAACCAGAATAGAACTGGTAAGCAATAGTTGTTTTTCTGTACATAAACCATTTAAGTTAATAACAATGTGTTGCAACATGTGATTTCTCAATACCTCTATCGGTATATACATGTATAAATGCATTTTCTTTCATATTCAGGTAGAGGTCGCAAATATTTTGATTACCAAGTTGAAATTGAAGAAATATTTGGTAAAAAAAAGAATATCAATCCAGATGTTCTTTTATCCAGTGAGACAGTAGACATTAGAAGAAAATGAAAAAATCAATACTGAAGAAGAAATAAAAGAAAACAATAGTCACAAAAGAAAAATAGAAAATAGTATTGAACTGTGTGAAACACCACCTAAAGTACCTTTACCATAACCAACCACAACATCAGTTACAAACACCAAACATAGAAAAGATAGAAGAATAACAAATATAGAAAATTCAAGACTGGACAGGAAAATGTATTATGAACAAAAATTAGAGATTGAAGGGAAAAAACTTAAGTTATTTGCAGAGAGAAATGAAATCCTTAGAAATAATAGCGACATACAAACTTCCCAATTTCTGTAGTATACACACAGATGAACTATGTGTAATAATACAAGCGTTGAGGTCTCCAATACAAGATAACAGTAAACTTGCCATATGCACAGACTCCTTTTCATCAATATTCTCTATCGAAAATAGTTACTCACATCAACCGTTGGTTCAAGATATCCTCGACACCTGCCACCACCATCGTACCAGAGGTGTCCTTGTGAATACCATCTGGATTCTTTCTCATTTAGGATGCAGACCAAGCAGTGAAACAAGTTTGTTCCTCCGACTTGCCAGAGGAGCAAATTCAACTCCACGAAGACTGGAAATCAGCAGCTCAAAAAATGATGATACAAACATGGCAAACACATTGGAACACATTTACTACCAAACTAAATACAATCCAACCCACTGTTTCTGCGCTGGACCTGCCCCCAATGACAAGAAAACAGATTCTCAAAACAAATATAAAACTGCCAGTTATTCATGAACGACAGATCCGATTTTCACAAATAAAACAACATGGGATAGAGACTTGAAATGTCTGATAAACATGATCACAAAACTCTCCTTACTGTATGAAAAAAGTTGGTAGCACCCTCTCGGTGACAAGTAATGCAACATTTTTGTTTTTCTCATTAAAAATTACCACCTCAATACTTGCCCAGTTCAAAAAATTCACAGGTGAGAAACTCGTATGCGTCCACACCTTCGTCCACACTGTATTTTTGAAATCCTCAGACAAGAAATTCAATGTCACATTCTAAGGATAATGTCGTTTACTACTAACAGTGATCTGACGTTAGGATTTTATCAATTGTTCGTGTGATTTCTGTAAAAGGTGTACGATTCCAAAGTAATACCAATTACTTTAGTTACTGTCACAATGTTAGCGCTGCTAAACTTACAGATCTGGAGGACTATTATTCATAAAAGACCACTGAAAGTTATTCTCTTCATCAAAATGTATTTGTCCTCTTCAGACTCCGTAACAAGCTGAAGAATTTCTACATTTCCAGGTTTCAATGAATAAAAATCATGTCTTTCATTTAATATGGCACTTCATTGAATTGAGATTGGTTGGTTACAAGAATTCGGAAAAAATACCTAAAGTGATCAATTTGTTAATATTAATTTAT